ATTCAGAATCAAAATTCCATTGTTTCTCATAGAATGCTTCTATTATGAAATCTTCACTGATATTTCCTCCAGAGAGAAATGTTTAATAAAAACAAACAAACAAAGGAAAGAGAACCAAGTCATGCTGAGATTTAACATACAAAATTACAATGTTTTTGTAAAAATGCCTGCTGACTTTCGGTTTCATGAGCTGAGATAAGTATTCACAGCATTTCAGCTAACAAAATATACTTTCTTTTTACTAAAGGAAGTCACAAATAATAACCTGAAAGAAGATGTGCAAAGTTTGATGCTGCAGCTTAAACATTTTATAATGAAGATTCCTAAATGTCTTGCTTTTATATTAGTCACATTCACCTTTCAGAGTCATACAGAATTATTTCTTAAACTAAGAAGTCACTTAAGTTGATTTACCAGACTAGGAAAAGAGCCAACATTCATAAAACTCAGGCAAGCATGTTTAGAGAGGCTTGATACTTCAAGTGGGTCTTGGAAAGTTCTTTCATTCAACATTCACTGGAATATCAGAGCATATAACAATTGTTTCATATTACTCTAGTACCTGTTCTTCAAGTTCTGTTAGGATTCTATTGCCCTTGTGCTGTATCAGAGTGCTTATCTTTATAGAAGATCAATATATATGTACACATTTTTCAAAACATGCCTTCTGGTATCTACCTGCGAGAAACAAAATTACATTCTAAAATCTCTGTAAGAAGTGGATGTATAGGTCTTCCCCTGAAGTGACCTGCCTTTAGGGCACTGGCAGGAGTGACATCTGACAGTCCAGCTCTCCCTGGCTTCTTACTGATTATTTATGTGACCTTGAACAAGTCATTTAATTTCTCTGACCACCACATTCCTTTTAAAAGGGGGAAATAACAAAACTTCAAAATCCTGTTAAAGGATTAAATGATACAGGTGAATTACTAAATTATAATTAAGCCCATAGAAAAAAGTAAGCCAATAAAACTGCAATAATATACAATAATAATTATTAGAAAGAAGAGGAAATGGCCTACCAGTCTATATTGCAAATAAGGCTGTCAAATTCTATCATAAAGTCACTCTCCTATAAGCAGACTAATCAAGCTTTCATTCTGAGAAAACTTGCTTGTAATATAATGGACACAAAGCACACTGCCATTTATTCAACTCCATAGAACCCAATGGTAAGAACAGAAATTGAAAAAAGAGAAGGAAAAACAAGAAATTTCTAGCTACCAAGAAAGGTATACCTTACCTCGTCAATTATGAAACATCATTCCAAGTACAGCTGGAGTCTGAGTGCAAAAATAAGTCTACAATAAACAAAATGCTGTATCAAAATAAGGATAACATCCCTTCTTTCTGCAAATGATGGGGCTGCAGAAACACTAAGCTCTCCAGGGCTTGAGGAAAGGGGAACAAGGGAGCAGGACAGCCCCTAGACCATGAGGACAAAGTGGAGCTTGTGGAATGGATTTTGCTCAGCCTGCCCTAAATTCTCAGTAATCTCACCAAATTTTCATATCCTATAGGATTATATATGCAAGTCCATCAAATGATCTCTTCCCAAACATAGTTTTCTTCTATGTGTAAAGTTCACCAAACACATGCATTCATCCACCCAACCACGTATATGATTGCCTATGACATGCATGCATCCCAGAGGATACGAGACTCACAGTCAAGTCCGCTCAAAATCAGTCCCCTGGTATTTAATGATGATAGCAATCGCAACTTTTAGAGGGCTGTCTTACATACTTTTTTCTTCTTCATTGGACTATAAACTCTTTCATCACCTTTTTCCCTAGCAGTCCAGCAGATGAATCCACTTACAGAAACTACCCAGTCATAAGTTCCCTGAATTAAAATGCACTCCACAGTACATGGAACAGAAGAGTCCACAGTGCCTATCCCTTGAGTGCTTCAAATTTTAGTATCATCTTCTTGAGGTGGCTAATGCTTTCTAAATCTGGCTAAGAGTGAGAATTGAAATGAAATATTTTTAAACATCATCTGGAAAGTGTTTCTTATAATTACCCTTTAAATTTCATAAGTATAAAAAATAAAAAAAAAAAGAAGAGATGTGACATCACCAAAATCTTTTGATATAGGCTATGCATTTGCCAATATCCAACAGGCATCACATTTCAGTGGCCTTCCTGACAAGGTAACCCTTGCAATGAGGCATCCAGCTGTTGTTGGCGAGCAAAACCTCCATCACAGTGGTATTCCCCTTACAGAGATCTAATAACTGTGGTAACTCCTCAGAAACCTGAGCAGGACAATGAGAAATTTATCATTCTAAACACAATTTTAAGTAAATGGTGATAAATGATGAGCCCTTTAGAAATTCATAAGAGTTCTAGAATTCTACACTGGTCTTACAAAATTGGCCAAAGAAGCAGAAGCAAGCATCCCCCTGCCTACACCTACTTTGATTAAAAAATGGCAGACAGTTCGAAGATAAAAAGGGAGCAAGGGGAAGAGAAACAAGATATTTTAGGAATCAAAACATCATTCTGATTAAAAAAAAATGCCTAAGGAGTTAATTCTTAGCTAAAATACAAATTACTATAACACTATGGTACCAGTTATCTTGGTATCTAAATATCTTTATAAAGATAAGAATGTGGAGGTCAGCCCCAATTTTTCTTTGTAATCCTCTAATGACAGTGAGTGATTTCTCCCACAAGTCTCTTAATCCTATGATAAACAAGCTTCTAAGCTTTTATGATGGTTCATTAAGTCCTAACTTGATCAGTGTGAAAATGACAACATTCAATGGCAAAATCACCTATATAGATTTACACGTCAACAACTAAAGCATCTTAAATTTATAGATTCAAACAATGTATTCTTCATATATAAATTTACTTGAGAATAAATATCCTTGCAAAAACAGAAAAGAACCACAGCAAATTAATTTCATTTGTATTTTTAAATAGTTGTTATGTAATCTTTAATTGGGATATAGCTATAACCCATGTTAAGATAGATTTTGAAATGAATTTTAGCTCAGAAGAAAAGACTAACTGATACAGAGTAGCTTAGTTAACACAACACAGCTTCATTCTGTCCTATGCTCTTAAAAAGTTTGTCTTCATTCACATCATGAAAAATTCAAGCAATAATTAAAAAAAAAAAAAAAAAGGATGGAGATGGAAGAGGAAGAAAGGAAGGAGATGAGGAACCAGAAGAGTAGATGAAGATGATGACAAGGACCACAGCAACTAAGGACTGACAAGATCTAGCAGAATAACTTGTTTGTATCACATCACAAAGGATTACTCTCCTTTAGAGTAAGTTAGAAAGGGGGGAGGGGGGAAAACCAGCATATATAGTAATTCAAAAGATAAGGTGGTAGAAGAAACACAAGTGTCTGATAAACATGTAAAGGTTCCTAAATTCAGCATTAATTTCAGAAAGAACCTAAATATTAATAAAACAGATTATACATTAAAATATTGAGAATACTCACTGATCCTAAAGACTAGAGGCTACTCCTAAATCATTGAAGGAATAATAAATGGGCATAGGCTATCTGAAAGGCAAACTAGGAATATTCATTAAAATACTAAATGTATGTACTCTGTCATCTAGGAAGTCTGGTCTGAGGAATTAACCCTACAGAATTATCCTTCTACAAAAATGTTGCTAGAAAGAGCCAAATATTGACAAGGACCTAAATGTCTTTCAGCACATACATTACATCACATACATCTACACAATGAAAAACAACTCATCAGAAAAAGAATTAAACAGGGACTATCTAATGTTGACAATGAAAAGATAGCTACAATGCATTGGTAAGGGGGCAAATGGCAAAACAGTATGCAAAACAATCATTTTTGTGTTTTTTCCCCCTCTGGTTTTTAAAAAGTCCACATATAGACTTAAAATTTCTACCAATGATGACTACCTTGAGGAGTGAGAGTATGTAGTCAACTTATGCTCTACTTGACTTATTTCCATGTTGTCTGAAATGAATGCAGCAGCAAGTTTAAAAACTAAAAAGAGGGCCCTCCCTGGTAGTGCAGTAGGTTAAAGCACAACACTAAAAAACTAAAGCCACTTCAGCATGAGCCTGATTCCTGGCCAGAGAGGTGACCCACATGGCATGGCAGAACTCTCCTGACCCATCCGCTGCTCCCCTCAGCAGTGTACTTCATCCATCTGCCTGTTCTGCTTCCCCCTCTGTCTCTGGTGAATCCTCTCACCACTCCTGCACCTCTGGCCTATACCCCACTTCTATATGTATAAATAAATAAATCTTAAAAAAAAAAAAAAAACTAAAAAACTAAAAAAAGTGTTATTTTTTGTTTAAATTCATGAGGAGTTCCATATTCTACACCCCTACCACTTCACTCATTAAAATTTGCCACAAAGAGATAAGCTTGAGATATACACACCAGACTGGAGAAAACCCAGAAGGCGTTAACCCAGGACTGCAGCCACTTCCTCACAGCAAGGGCAAGCAAGCCTGCAGGAGGGCCAGCCAGGAACACCTGAAGATCTTTCCTTGCCACAGGCCTACAAAGTACCTTTCTTTTCCCCAGGCCAGAATGTAGATTATCTCTCTCTAGGCTATTTTCACATCAGAGATTACTAAGTCTAAGATGCTTTCATTGGCACTGGAGCCAAATCTTTTGAGTCACATTTATGAGGGAGCACAGTCTTTCCAGCTAAGAAATCCATGTGTGTGCTTTGTGTACAATGACAGACAGAGCGAGGCAGCAGTCCACTTCCCATAACCCATGGCCAACAACAGGGAAGGGTTCCTTCTTACACTGCTTGACAAACTTGTCTTGTTTTCTGCTGTCACAGAAAATGCAATTATTTGTGACCACACAAGTGAAGGAGCAGCCAGAACTGCCTTCACTAGATCTACATCTGAGAAAGTTGCTGCTCCTGGACCCAAACAGAGCCAGCACAACTCATCAGGAAGCCCCATTCAGGCAGTGCTGCTGCGGGGGAAGACCGCTCCAGCGCTCTGACCTTCCTGGCTGACTTACCTAGCATCAGCACAGCAGACGTCTGCTTGCACAGCCAGGAACAAAAGCCTGAAAGAAAAGAAAAGAACCAGGTCAGACCCACAGGAAAGACTTGATCAGTATTTTGAAAGTGTCATCTGATGACCCCAAGTGGCCCTTCCAGGAATCCACCAGGTCAAAAAACCATTTTCACAGCAACACACTAAGGTACTATCCTCTTTTTCCACTTTCCTTCTCTCATTAGTACACAGTGGAGTCTTCCAAGGTTGAGTAACATGTCATCCATGGTAAAAAATCTAGGAAAATGGAGCTCTATTCATTTAGGTAAGGTATTAAACAGAGTGGCAAAAAAATGGGTAACAATGTCATTCTGCTTATTCACTACATTGCCTGAGAAATGATTTTCATAAAACATGTTATTTAAAATAAAATGTAAAGAGCTTATTGAAACTTTAAATTAATATTCTTAAAACTTTCAGTTTTAATTGTCATAAGTATCAGCAGAGATAAGCACATAATCATAAGCTCCTTGGGGTCCTGTATCATTTTCAGTGTCAAGAGAGCAGGCTAATTCCAAAATTTCAAAGTGCTGCTCAAGTTGTTTATTTTGGTACTAGGTTCTGTTAAATAGTATCCACTTTTAGCAGTGATCAGTGTGAGGTGTATAACACTGATGCTCACCACATTCTCTACTAAATACTTTATAAATGCTATTTCCAAACTCAACATCACCTTCAAAAAGAAATTAGCCTTGTCTGCCCCCCTGGATGTGAAGACTGGAATTCTAAGGGGCTGGGTTACTTTCCCAAAGTGAATCATCAAATCACACAGAGCAGAGTATGAACTCAAGTCAGGGAGGCTCCTGAGATGATGATCTACTCACTACATTATTTTCCAAAACAGTAATTATTGCGACTTCTGCAAACTAACCTTAAGCAAAGCACACTGAACCGAACCTTGTTTAACACTGAATGGGCTCAAAATGTAGCACCGCACCATGTGTATGCAGCTCAAAATGACAGCAACCTGTTTTCCTTAGATCCTGACAAAGTCCTACACTCCACTTCACTCCACTTCCTACAAAAGACAAACCTGAATAAGTAGGGCTTTTACTACTTGCCCCTGTTTAACATGAATAATGCCCTTTTTATATAGGAAGGTGGTAAATTATAGGGTCAGCACCAAGAAGGCTATGAATATCCTTAGCCTAGAAAATCTACCTTTTTCAACTGGTTTCAGCTTTTAAGAAGCACTGAAATAGTTGATGAAAAATTACTACTATTCATCCCTCAGTTGAAGCTGAATTTAAAATTATATAAAGAGTTGCCAGGCTAGCTCAGTCGATAGAGCATGAGACTCTTAAAATTATATAAAAGGTTGGGAATGGTAAGGAAATTCTAACTTACAAAATTTGCAGTCAAGCTAGTAAATTTGACCTTAAAAACCTCAAGCATAGTATGACCAGTTTCTCAAAAAATATTAGGCATGCAAATACCACAATCCAGCAATTCCACTTTAGGCATATGTAAAAAAAAGTCAAAATCAGTTTTGAACAGGTATTTGAACACCCATGTTTGTGGCAGCATTATTCACAATAGCTAAAAGGAAGAAAAAAGACAAATTTTTATCAACTGATGAATGCATAAATAAAATGTAATATAAAAATACAGTGGAGTATTATTTAGTCTTGAAAAGGAAGGAAATTCAGACACAAGCTAACACATGGATGGACATTTAGGACATCATGCTTGATGAAATAAACCAGTCACAAAGGACAGTACTGTACAACTCCACTCATATGAAACTCCTAGAATCCTCAGAATCATAGTGTTGAATGGGAATTACCAGGAGCTGGGGTGGGAAAATTGTAAATGGGAGCTGTGAATGGTCCCTGAGTTTCTTAAGTTTCTATTTGGGATAATGAAATAGAGATGGATGGTGGTGATGGTGTACAATCTTATGACTGTATTTGATATCACTGAACTATATGCTTTAAAATGCAAAAATGTAGTTTCCATCCTCAAAGATGCCAAAATCCAAGGATCCTTAAGTCCCTTACATAAAATGTCACTCTACTTAAGCACATCCTCCTTTTACTCTAAATGAACTCTAGATTACTTATAACACTTAAAATAGTATAAATGGCTTGCAAATAGCTATTATACTGTAATATTTAGGGAATGACAAGCATTCATTAGGTCTAGCTAGAGTACCTATTTTCAGTCCACAATTAGTTAAATGTGCAGATGCTGAATCCATGGATATATAGGTCTGAATGTATATTTTACCAAAATGTTTCAGGAAAGCATTTATATAAAAAGCTCTCCCAACATTAAGCAATCAGGAAAGAATATGCCCCATCATAGGGCATCTCATGTCATGTTTTTTTTTTTCTTATGTCATGTTTTTAATCTTCACTACTTTATTAAATTCAGTCAAGCATTCATCCACTCAGCAATGCTCACTGACTGCCTCCTAGCTTTTCATTTACTCTGCTAGTTACTTCTCAAAAGAGGAAGGAGACGTAGACCATATACATCAGGGGACTCCATCAGAGCTTCAGTTATACCAGAAGGCAACTTGTGATTCACTACATCAGAGGAACTTCTGCACTATAAATGATAAATGCTCTTGTAAACAAAACATGTACAACAACAACAAAAAAGTCAAGTCCTCTAAAGTATCATTATTTCCCAAAATTGAGCACTCTGTTATTTTCTCTAGAGAGACTATTTCCAAAGCCCTCACCTTTATTACTTTAAACTGCTATTGGTCAAACAATCTGTATCTTGTGACTATTTTGTGGTTAATTTCTCTTCTCCAGGGGAGACACATTAAATGATGTTGTAATGCCCCTCACACAATGAACACAACTCTATAAAAGGCGCTTTTCCTTCCTTTGATACAGCAAACATCCTGTAAACAATTAATGACCTACTCTTTCAACTGACTGCTTTTGTTTACTGACAGGAAAGGAAACCACAAATTCTCCAAGTGGCAAGAGGGACTCCAAGGTTTTGCTTCATTTCCTACCAAGCAGGTGGTTTATATGAGGTAAGTGGGTATTGTCTTTTGCCTCCTTTCAGCTTCAGAGGAAAAAGTGAGTGAGCTCTCAGAAGAGGGAAGTCTTCTGGAGCAGGGGGAGGTGTGGTGTGGGCTGCTGTGTGGGCCTGGGAGAAGGTAAGCCACTCCCCTGTTCTCTGGGCATCGTTGAGAGTGGGTGTCTACAACTTTCAGAGCTGCCAGAGAGTCAGATTTGCAGGCAGACAGAGACCTGGCCCTTTATTCTTACCAGCACGCTCATCAGCTATTTTCCCAGTGAAACAGGATTCTGAGAGAATGAGAGCAAATATTTTCTTTCCACTGAGGAGAATCAAAATATTCCATCCAGCCCCAAACCACTGTTTCTCTACTGTGACTAGGATGGGTTTGGGAGTAGTCAGGAAAAGCCAACACCTGAGAAAAGCTCCTTTTGGCTTTTTTTTTTTTTTAATAAAATTTTCCTTCAAAATAATGAGATCTCTCTGAGGGGCAAAAGTGTGGGTGTTGCAGTCCTTGAGCCTGTGAACCACAACATGCACAGGAGCTCCCCACTTCTCCCCCATTCTGGGGAAGCATGTGGTCACTGATCATTCACTGAATCTTGAACTATGCTCACATGCATAGGATGTACCACCATCAGACCTTATTGCACAGCTGAGGTCTAACCCAGACCTCACCCATTCTGTTAAAGGGCAGGAAGAAGGGCATCCCACAAACCCCAAACTTGCCCGTTCTAAATAGGTTCTGTCATCCACTACATCAAGACAAAACATATAAGACCTTTTATGGAAAGCAATTATAATACAATGAATGCAGAACAAAGAAAACACAAAGAACATGGTTTTCCAATGAAGCACCTGAAGTTACCCATCCCCTTGTGGGTAAATGCCCAGCCAAATAGTACTGGATCAAAGCAGGGCCACTGAAGTCCAAAAGCCCACCACAAATATAAAGCACCTGCTGGTGGGGACCCACAGAAAGGGTCAGAAACAACCAGACAGGTTTACAAGCAAAAGAGCAAAATCAAAATCAAAATCAAAATCAAAATCCAGATCAACGCTACCATTGTTAACCTCCCCACAGGTCTCTCACTCACACCTGTTTCAACCAGTCCAAGACCAAGAAACAAGTGCAGCTTCTTCACATGTCTCTGCTATCTGCGCCCTCGGGTCTCCTGCTTGCTCCCCATCCTACCTCCTTCCTTCTCCAGTTCCCTCTCTAGCTTTTTCTCCTCCCTGCTCAGTTCCATTCTACCTTGGATGGGGCCAGGAACCTGTAATCTCCCTCCTTTTAGGGGACCACCCTGTTACAATTCCAGTAGCACAGAACACACCCCAGGAGACAGTCTCAAAAAGCACATGAGCGGGGCCCTCCCTGGTGGCACAGCGGGTTAAAGCACAGCACTAAGAAGCTAAAGCCACTTCCGCATGAGTTTGATCCCCGCCGGCCCCGGAGGAGATCCACATGGTGTGGCAGACCTCTCCTGACCCGCTCGCTGCTCCCCTCAGCAGTGTACTTCGTCGATCTGCCTGTACTGCTCCCCACTCTGTCTCTGGTGAATCCTCTCACCCTCCACATCTCTGGCCTGTACCCTAGTTCTGTACGAATAAATAAATAAATCTTTAAAAAAAAAAAAAAAAAGCACATGAGCGGATACCTCCTACACTGAAACAACCAATCTTACCTAGAAAGAGTGTCAGATCACAGGATTCTGTAGACCAATATCAGATGTTGTCTGCCCCAGGAAATAAAGTTTGAAAAACAGGGCATCGGTCAGAGGCTGACATTCAACACCACTGGCCACTCACGACGGCTGGTTACCAGGCCTCACCATCTCATGTGGCTGCACACACACACACACACACACACACTCAATTCCGGAGCTCTGGTCTACTGAAAGGGACACTTTTGCATGGCTGTCTACATCCCTCACATATCAGCATAACTCTAAAAAGTGTCACAAGCTTCAAGCAATGACCAACCACCCGAGTGCTGACACTGAATCAGGTCAGGGCAACGTAAAACCA